GCCCGCCAGGTGGGCTCCGTCCTGGTCGACATCGTGGGGGCCGGCGCCGCGGCCCCCGCGCCGGCGCCCGCCGCGGCGGCGCCGGCGCCCGCGCCCGCGGCGGCGCCCGCCGCGGCGGGGGCGAAGGCGAGGCCCACCGCGCGCGCGCGCGCCGGTGGCGGGAGGGCGGGCGAGGACCGGGGCTCAGGAGACGGGGGTCAATGCGAACGGGGGTCAGCCAGAGCGCCGGATCCTGCAGGATCCTGCAGGGCCAGGGTCGCGCTGACCCGGGCTTGGGTGCAGGATCCTGCAGGATCTTGCAGGGTCCTTCGCACTGACCCGGGCTTGGGTGCAGGATCTTGCAGGGTGTTGCAAGGCCTGACTGACCCGGGTCTGAATTGACCCGGGTCAGAAGATCCCCGAGAGGAGGAGGTTGATAGATTTCCTATCCTGACACGTCGATTAGAGAGTTGACCGTTTTCGGTTCGCGAGAGGGCGTCGCGGCCGTCATTTCTGCGGCTCCAGGTCCGTCGGTGTCGGTCCGAGGCCGTTTTCACTAAAGGGTGGTTTGCTAAAGGGAGAGTTGTCCACCGCCGAGACGAGACAGCGGCGCGCAGGAGTCCGTGGGGCTGGCGGGGCAGATCGGCGGCGACGACAGTGGGAGAAGAAAAACGCCACAAGCATACAACTTTTGGCGTTCCGCGCGGATGTCTGGGATCTGCGCTGAGCCCCCCCCTCCCCTGGTGGCGCCTCCGACGGCTTCCCCTGGCGCGCTCCGCGCGCCCGGGAGGGGCCAGCGCAGATCCAAGAAATCCGCGCGGACCTCCACAAAAGCAGGATGGGCAACCAGGCTCGCCCAGGGCCACCAAAGAGTGTTCTGAGAAGCGTTTGTGGTCTGTGCGGCATGTTCTCAGAATATTTCTGGCCGAGACTGCCTGGCTTGAACGAGCGGGGCGTATGTTATAAGAACCTTGTTTTGTGTTCCTCGCACTTTTTCGGATTCTAAGAAGATGTCGTGGTTGGCCTATAGGAATGCCGGGACGGTCGCCCCCTGCTCCAGTCGGGAGCCTTGAGACGGGAGTCAATACAAACGGGGGTCAGCCAGAGCGCCCGATCCTGCAGGATCCTGCAGGGCCAGGGTCGCACTGACCCGGGTGTGGGTGCAGTATCCTGCAGGATCTTGCAGGGTCCTTCGCGTTGACCCGGGCTTGGGCGCAGGATCCTGCAGGATTTTACAGGATGCTGCAAGGCCTGACTTTACCAGCCTGGAACATATCCCTATCCCTATGCTGGGCATCGCCTCATCACGACGCCAATCTCGGGGATCCCCCCCTATTTTCTCAGGGCGCATCCCTGAGACTGTCACCGCCTTTTGGCGTGTCCATCTCAGGGATAGGGATATGCTCGAGGCTGCTAAGAATGACTGACCCCGGGTCTGCACTGGCCCTGGTCAGGAGGTCCCCGACCCAGGGCGAGGGAGGACGGCGGCGCGCAGGAGTCCGCGGGGTCGGCTTGGGCAGCTGCGCCCAGGGGGCGGGCAGCCCGGGGGGCGGGGACCTGGCGCGCCCTCGCACGGGAGGCTCGCGGGAGGGGCGGGCCATCGGCGCCCCTGGAGTTTGGAAGTCGGGCCCGTGCCTCCACAGGAGGAATGTTCCGAATAGTCCAAATAGTCAAAAAATTATCAAAAATAGTCAAAAAGAGTCAAACATAGTGTGGGGACGATGTTTTGACTGTTGTTGGCTGTGTTGGTGTATGCCTGGTATATGTTCTCATTTGTCTTCCAAAATCCGCCTGTGGGAGGACATGCCCGACCTACAGACAACGTTAGGTCGGGCCCGTCCCTCTACAGGAGGGATTTCCAAACATAGTCTAACAATAGTCTGGGGACGATGTTTCGACTGTTCTGGAGCAGTTTTGACTTTTTTGTTTTTGCTATTGTGCATTCTTCGTCCAGAATCCGCCTGTAGGGGGACGCGCCCGACCTAACCCTGGATACGCGCGAGGCGTTCCAAAATGGGCCTTGCCTTCGAGAGTCGAAGGAGTTGTCATCTCTTCCTCGGCGGAAGGCGGCGGAAGGTCGGCGGTGGTGAGGCGAGGCCGCCCTTCCGCCGGCGGAAGGGCGGCGGAAGGCGGCGGACGTGAAACAAATGCGGCCCAAGAGATGACATCATTCTTGGGTTCAGGATTTCCAGAATCCGCCGCACGTGCAGTGGGGACCCATGCCAAGACACACCCTGCTTGCCTCCAGGGAGCCCTGGGTTTCTTGGGTTTCGATGGCTTGGCGATGGAAAGCGTGAGAGGTTCCCACACCAAGAATCAACGGACGTCCTGGGTCTCAGTGTTGGAGTTCTTGTGGAAGGTTGTGGATTGTCCTCCATTGTACACGTGTTTTTCTCCCCTGGGCTATTCGCCCCCCTCGGCGCCCCCCTGAGCAGAGGCTCGTGGGGGGGGATAGCAGGGGCTTGGAGCCGGCGGGGGCTCTGCGGTGGCCCAGCACTGGTTTTGGTCAACAGGAAGGGTGGTTGCGCGGTGAGTCGCGCGGTTACTGCGCGATGCGCGGTGGGTTGCGTTTGGAGGAGGGCGAGGAAGAGGAGGTCGAAAGGATGAGGAGGAGGAGGAGGAAAAGGAGGAGGAGGAGGAAGAGGAGCAGGAGGAGGAGGAGGAGGAGGAAAAGGAGGAAGAGGAGGAGCAGGAGGAGGAGGGAGAACAAGAGGAGGCGGAGGAGGAGGAGGAGGAGGAGGAGGAGGAGGAGGAGGAGGAAGTGGGGGACAAGGAGGAGTAGAAACCACGGGGCTTAGGGCCCGTTTCCCACGGGAGCCGACCCCCTTCGTGGCGAGGGATATTGCACCGCCAGAAGATGTCCAAATCCTGGGCTGCTGGAAGCCTGCCACGGCAACAACAACGATCACAACGACAACGACAACGATAACAACGATAACGATAACGGTGTGATAGACGTTATCGATGCTATCGTTATGGTCGTTGTCGTTGTTATCGTTACCGCTGTTATCCTTGAGCGGCAGACGTGGATGACTGCAGCTGCTCGCATGCCCTCGGGGGCAGGCAGGTACCCACACCCGCCACAGCCTTGAGGGGCCCTCGGGGCCTCGGGGCCCGGCTCCGAGGCGGTGGATATAGGCATACAGTCGGGCCGCTGAAAGAAGGAACGATAAACAAGGAACGAAGCCCCTTTTTGGCCCCACAAGCGCCTGCGTGCACGAGGAAGGCTAGAGGAAAAGCCATAGAAGGACCTAAGGAATATCGAGCCCCTTTCTTACCCAAACTGTTCCTCATTTCACCGACTTGGCTGTCTTGTATCCGCACCCCTGCTGCTGTTCCATCTCTCCAGTCGGCTGGGAGTGTGACGCGGGTAAGAGATCGAGCCTCAATGAACAGGACATTATCCGTCAGCCTCGGATCGGGAAGCGGAATCAGATCGAAAAGTGCGTAGGATCGGGCTGCATCTGCACGAGGTCGAACTCGAATTCGCTTCTGCTGCACAAGAATGCACAACAACCCCACGCAAACATTGGGCCGCGTCGGACCGTCGGAACATCGGAATATTGTCGGGGCGGCCAGGGTCGACAACGAATCGTATCGATCGGATCGAAACGTACCCCGCGCGATGATCAGCCACTCCCAGCCCCGCCGCTGGCCAAATGAGGGCGCCCGCGGGGGATCGAAAGGGCACCGATCCCGATACCGCTACTTTCCAGGCCTCTCCGAGGGCACGCTCTCACTAATTCAAACGGCCGCTTTTCGTTTGTTTTCCGGGTAACGGTCGTTGCCCGGGGGGAAGAGTGAAGGGGTTCGGGCGAGACGGTAACGGTAACGGCGGCCGCGGCATGCACCCGCGAAGGTGCGCCCGCGCCACCGGCGCATCAATCGCCTGTGTGCGCCACAGCATGTAGTTGGGGATCCAGCCCCCCCCCAAAATACGACCGTTAGCGTTGCCCGGGGGAGGGGGAGGGGGTTTGGCCCGGGTTTGTAACGAGCGATACAATCAACCCGTATCATAAGGATGCGCGGTCAGGATGCAAGGGCCTTGGAGGGCCAAGTTGACGTTTTTTCCGGACGAGATTGGCCAGCGAAAGTCGCTAAGGATGCACCGAAGTGGCAAGGATGCAAGGATATTTTTTGGAAGGTTGCCTTTCCCTAACACTTCGGGTTGACTGTACCCTGGGAGGAAAAAACGCTCACCAGCCTTGGGACGCCTCGCTTTGCGCCCCGCGCCCCGCGATGCGCGGCGCGCCCTTATCTTTAGGTCGGGCATGTCCTCCTACAGGCTGATCTTGGAAGCAAAATAATGTGAAATAGCCAAAATGGTCAAACATAATTGTGATACCGAGGAGCCCCACATACTTCTGATATGTCTGGAGCGATTTTGACAGCCCGTGTCCCGTGGAGGGGTCCGAATACGGCGCACAACTTCCCAGGGGCCCTCTTCTTCGCCGCCCCCCGCGGCGCGAGAAGTCAGCCCCACGCTCCGCGCGCCGTGGGCCAGGCCACAGATGTGCTGCACTTATCGGGGGCCTCGAGACGGGGGTCAATGCAAACGGCAGGATCCTGCAGGGCCAGGGCCGCATTGACCCGGGCTTCTTGGGCGCAGGATCCTTCAGGATTTTGCAGGATCCTTCGCATTGACCCGGGGCTGGGGTGCAGAATTGTGCAGGGCATTGCAGGACCCTTCAAGGAGAAGATCCCCGACCTTCCCCGCGGTGGCGGCTCGAGGGCTCGAGGGCGCCAAGACCACCGCGACTCGCGGGGCGCGGTGGGGCCCGATCCCTTCGCTCGGCGGCGAGCCCCAGGGGGGGGAAGTGAGGAGGGGGCGGGCCTTCTCAGCAGGCTTGGACGCCCCCCCGGCCCTCTGAGGAGTCTCCTGGGCCAGAGGACCTCTCAGAGGGGCCTCGAGGGCCTCCGAGGAGCCCCGCCGCCTTCACTGAGGAGGCCTCCTCCTCCTCCCTCCCCCCCCCCGGCGCTCGCCGCCGCCTCGCGCGCGGAGCTCCCCGCCGCGGCGCGCCATGGGGGCGCCCGGGGCGCGCCGGCCCCGGCGGGCCGCCGCCCGCGCGCTGCTGCTCGTGCCCGCCCTGGGGCTGGCGGGCCGCCTCTGCGCCCTCGCGGGCTGCCCGGGCACCGCCGCGCTGCTCCCCGGCCCGCGGGGCCCGAGAAGCCTCTGCCAGGGGTCTTGGCATCGCTCGGACGTGTGCATTTTTCCTTCGGCGAGGACCATCGAGGAGCACCTATCCCTATCCCTGTGTTGGGCATCGCCTCACCTGGATGCCGATCTCCAGGATTATCCCTCGGTTTCTGAGGGCCTGTCCCTAGGATTGTCCTCGCTTTTTGCTCGCCCATCTTGGGGATAGGGAAAAGTTCGAGGCTGGTTATCTGCCAGGGGTGCGCCCTCGGGTCGCCCCCGAAGGGGCGTGTTCGAGGCCCTCGTCGCCAGCTGGCGGATCCGGAGAGGAGCGGGGAGGCGGGACCGGAGAGGAGCGGGCCGGACGAAAGGGGGGGATTGGGAAAGGGGGGGTTACGAAATTTGCTGCATGCAGCTGGTTTCGGCCCCACCGAGGGGCCCATTCCTCGATAAATAGACGCCTCCGGCGCCGGGAGGCGCCGGGAAAATCAGCTACGTAAGCTGATTCTCCCCCCCCCCCTTTGCTATCCCCCCCTTTCGCCCGACCCGAGAGAAGCCTCTGCCAGGGGTGCGCCCTCGGGTCGCCCCCGAAGGGGCGTGCTCGAGGCCCTCGTCGCCAGGGGGGAGGCGGGTCCGGAGAGATGCGGGTCCCGGGGCTCTTCGCCGTCCCAGGAGCGTCCGAGGACGACGCAGGAGGAGGAGCTCGTCCCAAGGGGGAGGGCACCAGGGGTCCAGGACCCGCTTCCGTCAGGACAGCGCGCTTCCCCCATGACGAGTTTCCGGTGCGCGAAGTGCGAGGTTTTCGGGCGGTTCCGAGGGCTCCCAGTGGTTTCGCAGCCTCGCGGCGCTTTCCAGCAGTGGCGCCGCCGAGAGCCTTCCGGGGGTGCCCAGAGCCTCCCGGGCGGCCGCTGGAGACCCGGGATGCGACCCGAGAGCGGGACGATGCAGCGGGTTCCGGGCCGGCCGCCAGACCGTTTTCCTCGATGTCGGGGCTCAAGAGACGGGGGTCAATGCAAACGGGGGTCAGCCAGGGCACCAGATCCTGCAGGATCCTGCGGAGACCCCCTCTGGTTGACCCGGGTTGGCGAGCCGCTCGTGGCCGCGAGGCGGCCGCGCATGTTGGCTGACCCGGGTTTGCGAAGTTCTGCGTTGAATTTTTTGTCCTGCATTGCAGTTTTTGGTTTCCTGCTGACCCGGGTCTGGATTGGCCCGGGTCAGAAGATCCCCAACGATACATGGTCGCCTCCAGCGCAAGGAGGCGCCAGGGAAACCGGCTGAATTCGGCTGAGTTTCTAGCCCCCCGTTCTCGTCCGCCCCGAGCGTCCCTCCCTCACTCAGCTCAGACGGCGGGGGCGACGTCGGTACTTTCGTTGCTGAGGGTTGTTGCGCGTTTGTGGAGGGCTGCGTCGCCAGTGCTGGACCGGGGTAGAGCAACTCTCCAGGACGGACCCGTGGTAGGGGTTCCACAGGCATCGATTTTGATTTTATCTTTGAAGAATCGTCATGGGGAGGCTGGGTAATATAGAGGAGAGTGGGATTGCGGGAACGGAAAATTCATTCTGAGGAAGTTCAGGGGCCAGGATCTATTTCTGCCACGACCGATTTCTTGCATGCCAGCCCTCAGTCCTGTCTCCCCCCCTGATGTCTCTGGTGGGAGGAACCCCAGCGTAGTCATTGTATGGCGCGGCAGTGACAACGGCAGTGATGCTTTCTAGAAGGATGATGTAGTATGCCTGTTGCAGTGGCAATAGCACCAGGAATCGGGATACACATGACGCTGCCGGCTCAGGCCAGAGATGGTGGCCAGATTTTTGTCCAGTTCTCGACCATTCCATTGCCGAGTAGGCGTGGTCTCCAGATGTTCCACATGTGAATCCAGCCCCGTGTGGTTCCATTTTCCTGGTACTGGTTTCGGTCGTTGTCCGTGTTGATGTTGATAATGAAATGACAATGGCGATTACAACGTCGACGGCAATGTCAATGGAAATAGCTACAGCGATAGTGCAGTTCTACGAACATCAGTTGTAACCGAATCGTGAGTCTGGTATGGGAACCGCTAGGTTGTATGCCCCACGGTGGTAAAATGGCCTTGACACCCCCGCGAGACCCCTCGATGCACCGGATCAGGATGAGCAGGCTGAGGAGGTGGAGGTCAGGGGCAACGTTGGGGGGGGATGGGCTACGTGGAGGAATCATCGCCCCCCCATCGCCCATCTCATCGCAGATAGGGCCCCGACAGCCCACCCCGCCCATCAGCGCGCGGAGTCGCTGTAGGGGGCCCACCGCCGATCAATCGAAGATCTATCGCCGATTCCAGGCTCTTGGCATCGCTCGGACGTGTGCGTTTTTTCCTCGGCGAGGACCATCGAGGAGCATCTTTGACCATTTGGCGAAAAAATCACGCACGAAACAGAAAAAAACACAGGAAATGGACGTCCGAGCGATGCCCAGGGCTGATGTCCCCCCACCCTGAGCCAGTCCGCCCCCTGATCGTTGCCCCATCAGGAGGGAGTTCCAGAGGGTGGTGGTGAGACCACGCGGAGGCGCGCGAAGAGCCCCGGAGCGCAGCGAAATGAGAGCGAGTCCCGATGGAAGCGCATACATCTACACATAGAGACGGATGTATGTATGTACGTACGTGCGTATGTATGTGCGTACGTATGTATGCATGCATGCCTATATGTATGTATGTCTACCTGTATGTGTCTGTATGTCTATAAGCATGCATGTCTGTATGCATGTCTGTGTTATGTATGTATATACTATGTATGGATGGATGTACTGGTGCATGTGTACCCGTGTATGCATGTATGCATGTATGGATGTGTGTATGTATGTATGTATGCATGTATGTGCGTATGTGTGTGCATGCATGAACATGTCTGTATGTTTGTATGCATGTATGTAGATATGTGTGTATGTATGTATGCATTCATGTTTGTACAGCTGCATGTATGTATGGATGTATGTATGTGTGTATGTATGCATGTATGCATGTGTGTATGTATATATTATATACATGTATGGGCTTGTGCACGAGTGTGTGTACGCATGCGTGCATGCATGAATGTGCGTCTGTATGCATGTCTGTGTGTATGTGGTGGTATGTATGTATGCATGGATTGTTCTAGGTGAGTGTACGTGTATGCGTGTATATTTTTATGTATGGATTGATGTACATGTACGGATGCAGGTGTTTACGTGTATGTACGTGTGTATGTGTGCATGCATGTCTGTATGCGAGTATGTATGCGTGCACGCATGCATGCACGAACGTTTGTATGCATGTGCTTATGTATGTGTGTGTAAGTATGTATGCAGGCTTGTACAGGTAAGAAAGTCTGGAAGCGTGTATGTATGTATGTACGTGTATGTATGTATACGTGCATGTTGTTATGTATATATGTATGCAGGTGTGTACCTATTCATGCATGCATGCATACATGTGTGTAATCCTGTATGTCCGTGTGTGTATGTATATTTGTAGGTGTCTATGTATGTATGGGGTATGGTTGGTCATACGTGTGTATGTATGTACGAATGGATGTCTAGATGCATGTGACTACGTGCATGTATGCATACATGTATGTGTGTATGTATGCATGCATGCATGTATGTATGCATGCATGTATGTATGTGTGTATGTCTTTGTGTGCGTATGTAGTATATGTGTATGTGTATGTATGGGTGCATGTGTATGCATGTGTGTATGTATGCATTCATGTATGTGTATGTGGGCAACATGTAAGTAAGTATGTGTGTACGTGTGCATGCATGCGTGCGTGCATGTTAACATGCGTGTATGCATGTTTATATTCCGGCGTGTACGCATGTATGTATGTGTATGCATGCACATATGTATGCATATATACATAGCATGTGTATGTGTATATGTGTGTATGCGTGGGTGCTTGTACGGATGCATGTGTCTATGTTTGTATGCATGTATGTATGCATGCATATATGTCGGTGTGTCTTTAAGCACACATGTATGTATGGATGTCGGTATATGTGTACACATGCTTATGCCTGTATGCAAACATGTACGTGTACGAGTCAGTATGTCTGTATGTGCATGCATGCATGCATGTATCTGCGTGTATGTATGTATGTTTGTTTGCATGTGGGTATGCATGTATGCGTGCATGTCTGCATGTATGTATGTATACAGGGGTGCAGGCAAACAAGCAGGTAGGTAGGTAGGGCTGCACGCATGCATGTATGACAGTGTATATATGTGTGTTTGTGTGCATACCTATGCCCTGATCTAGATTTCCCCACCATCCTGTGGTGTTAGGTCCTCGTTTTGGAGAAACTGCGACCCGTGTCTCCTTCCCTCACGCTGCCTTCCCCCTCCCTCCCGTTGCTTTCCTCCGCACCATTCACACGTTTCGTGGCCCCATCGGGAGCACCACCGAAGGCCTCCGTGGCGGTGTTCGCATGCGTGTCCCCCACTGTGCAGCGCTTCGTGGCCCCATGCGGAGCTCCACCGAAGGCCTCAGTAGCGGTCGCCAGCCGCATCTCCCCCATCCAGTCAAGCGCTTCGTGGCCCCATCGAAGCCCCAGCGGCGGTGCTCACACGCGCCCCCCCGCCCAACACAGCGTTTCGTAGCCCCACAGGGAGCTCAACCGAAGGCCCCAGTGACGGTGTTCGCATGCGCTTCCCCCATTTAGTACAGCGCTTCGTTGCCCGAAAGGGAGCTCCACTGAAGGCCAAAGAGCGGTGTTCGCATACATCTCCCGAACCCCGTACAGCGTTTCGTGGCCCTTTCATAGGGAGCTCCACCAAAGGCCCCAGTGGCGATGTTCGCGTGCGCCTCCCCCACCTAGTACAGCACTTCGTGGCCCCAAAGGGCTCCACCGAAGGCCCCAGTGGCGGTTTCCGCATGCGTCTCCCGTACCCAGTGCAGCACTTCGTGGCCCCATCGGGAGGTCCACCTCCGCAGCAGAGGAAGGACCCTCGCAATGGAGTCCCTGGAAATCCTTCACACGAACCTCCACACAAAGGGGCTTTTCT